GATCATCAGGAACTTCAAGGGGAGAGGTTCAATTGTTGCAAAGAAGGCTTCAGGGTGCCCAAGCAAGTCTATCTAGTATTTTACTGTCACGCCTTGAGCACTGTGTCAGCATCAAAGGCATGCCCCTCTCATGGTTTCAGTCCTATCTAACTGTCCGAAGCTTTTCCATTCATTTAGGCGCATTCTCTTCACCTACAGCTCCACTTATACTTCTGGAGTACCACAAGGCTCTGTCCTGGGCCCTATACTCTTTTCACTGTATTTATTGCCACTGGGGTCCATATTCAGAAAATATAATATTGCCTTCCACTGTTTTACAGATGATGTACAAATTTATCTGCCTCTAAGTCTAAGCAGGAATGATTGAATTCAGCCATTGTTCGATTGTTTGAATGAGGTCAAATCTTGGATGATAGTAAGTCCAAGATTATTCTATTTGGCCATAAGCGTACTGATTGGTTCTCTGGCCCTCTTTCTCCTTACCATCGTTCATCTGTCAAGAACTTAGGTGTGACCTTTGACAGCGCATTTAAATTTGATAATCAGGTGAGCTCTGTCATAAAAACAAGTTTTTATCAATGGAGACTCTTAGCTAAGGTTAAAGGTTACCTCCCCCTTAAAGATTTTGAGAAGGTTATCCATGCTTTTATAACCTCCCAGTTGGATTATTGCAATTCACTTTATTTTGGAATTGATCAGTCACAAATTCATCATCTGCAACTAGTGCAAAACGCAGCAGGTCACCTCCTCACTGGTAAGCGTGAGCATGACCATCTTTCTCCTATATTGGCCTCGCTTCACTGGCTACCTGTGAGGTTTAGAATTTGAGTTTAAATTGTTGCTGATTGTTTTTAAAGCACTGAACAGGCTGGCACCCAAATATCTCACTGAACTGCTACACTGTTATACTCTGGCCAAAGCACTTAGGTGGTCTCAACAGCTTCTGCTAAAAGTTCCTAAGACCAGGCTGAAGACCAGAAGTGACCGAGCCTTTGGGGCTGCTGCTCCTAGACTTTGGAATAGCCTACTTTAGAATAGCCTACCTTGGCATGTAGGATCTGCCCCAACTCTGGAAACTTTTAAATCTTCTCTTAAGACACATCTTTTCTTGATGGCATTTGATTTACGATGAGTTGGCATAAAAATACTCTGAGTCTGTTGTTCATTTTATGTTTTTCATTTTTTGTTTTTATTGTTTTAATGATGTGACTCTGTACAGCACTTTGGTCAACCTTGGTTGTTTAAAAGTGCTTTATAAATAAACGTTGATTTGATCTGGATTATTAAACAGCAAGACCGTCTCCTAAAGCTGATTCAGCTGCAGGATCGGGGCACCACCAGTGCAGAGCTTGCTCAGGAATGGCAGCAGGCCTTTTGGAGGATGGCCTGGTGTCGAGAAGGGCAGCAAAGAAGCCACTTCTTTCCAAGAAAAACATCAGGGACAGACTGATATTCTGCAAAATGTACAGGGATTGGACTGCTGAGGACTGGGGTAAAGTCATTTTCTTTGATGAATCCCCTTTCTGATTTTTGGGGCATCCAGAAAAAAGATTGTACAGAGAAGAAAAGGTGAGCGCTTCAGTCCTGTGTCATGCCAACAGTAAACATCCTGAGACCATTCATGTGTGGGGTTGCTTCTCAGGGAAGTTAGTGGGCTCACTCACATTTTTCCCTAAGAACACAGGCAGGAATAAAGAATGGTACCAAAACCTCCTCTGACAGCAACTTCTCCCAACCATCCAAGAACAGTTTGGTGACGAACAATGCCTTTTCCAGCATGATGGAGCACCGTGCCATAAGGCAAAACATCAACATTGGGAACATCTGGGAAAAAATTTCAACATTTTGGGTCTATGGCCAGGAAACTCACCAGACCTTAATCCCATTGAGAACTTGTGGTCAGTCTTCAAGAGGTGGATGGACAAACAAAAATCCCAAACTCCAAGCACTGATTACGCAAGAATGGGCTGCCATCAGTCAGGATTTAGCCCAGAAGTTGATTGACAGCATGCCAGGGTGAATTGCAGAGGTCTTGAAAAAGAAGGGCTAACACTGCAAATATTGACTCGATGCATAAACTTAATATAATTGTTACTAAAAGCCTTTGACACTTATCAAATGCTTGTAATTTTCCATCGGTATACCATAGATACATCTGACAAAAAGATCCACAAACACTGAAGCAAACTTTGTGAAAATTAATATTTGTGTCATTCTCAAAACTTTTGGTCATGGCTGTAGTGGGGCGAACAGTTTCTTAGCACCAGTACAAGGTAGACTTTTGTCAAGTCCTCGGTTTAGCTAGACAAGGAAAGGATCTAGTTGTTCAAAAGACTATAACATGGTGCAATTTGACAAATGACTAATCTGCCATGTCATCTACGTTGGCCGACTTGTTTTATAGGCAGATTAAACTAGATGAGCATAATGTACTGTAGGACTAACCATTTAATGAGTTGGGTGAGTTTGGCCACTTTATGCTGCTTAACTTTTAAATAAATTTGTTGTATACTTTAGCAGCCAAATCAGTGTATTAGATTACACTAGAAATTGCATCCATCTATTTTCTTTATTAAAATGACAGCAGGGAACATCACATCATTAATGTTCCCTTTTGTCATCTTAAGTGGCCAAACTCACCAAACTCATTAAATGGCTATGCTACACTCCTGGGCAAAGAAGTGGGCCATACACTAATTGCACATTACACATACGGCCAAACCCTAATTGCCCATTTTTTTGCCCAGGAGTGTTCACTATGCTCATCTAGTTTAATTTGCTGGTTTGCAAGGTTACTGAATAATTCAACTGTCTCACGACTGAACTTCTGACATGTGCTGTAAGTCCTCTCCCACTCATCCAGAATGTGCTGCACTAGCTGTACCCTTATGTTTTACACCTCCTGCTCTCATTCACTTGCTGTGGCTGGATGCCACGGCAAGTTAAAGAACACTAGGCTAAAAAAGAAACGTAAACATTTACATTAGACCTTAAAGCTCATTAAAGTTACAACGGTTCTCAAAACAACACATTTTACTGTTTTAGAAAGACGAAGAATCACAAACCATCTTTTTTAGCCTTTGCCAGTGTCTGAGGAAACAAAGATTCCCTCACATTAAAGCATGCTAAATCTTTCCTGCTCTACCTGAATGGACTCATTTTAGCTTACATTTCAGTATGCACTTCTGTCACTGACAGATTTTCTACTTAATATATTTACTGTATAACTCAACAAATAAGCATATATTAGGAAAACAACATCAATGGGCAATAGTGTCCATAGGTACTGCATGTAGTATTTTTGGAAAAACCAGGCAGATCGATTTTTTTACTGAAAAATTGACTATTAGATCAACTCTATTTGTTATAAATGAAACTTACTTAAATTCACAGGAAATGTATTTAATTCATATCCATATTTAATCGCCCCTTCATGTAAAATCTGTTTTAATCAGCTAGATACATATGTTCAAATGCAGTATTACTAGTTGAAACACCTGAGTGACAATCTGTACAATAAGATATTCATAGAGCCTCAAACTGTTAAGAAATATTTATGCACACATCAAATGTGTCTTAGCTGTATACAATTTTGTCTGGTAAGGTGTTAATCATAAAAGGTCAAGTAGAATTAATTCTCCAGTTTTGTTAATTTGATGGCGCTAGGGACTGGGTAGGTCTACTCTACACTCATCTAGCATAATTTGAAATGCTTGTAAGGTTATGTCAGGTCTGTCAATTTAGTAAGATAAACTGGGGTTTCTTGTGCATAAAATGTGAAATTTGTATGTTATTAATCACAATTATGTCAAACATAATTCAACTGAATATGAATACATTCATGAATATAAGTCTGTTGATGTTTCTACTATAATTGGGCGCTACAATCAATCCATCTGCATTACTCCTGTTTACAGGGGAAGTAGGACAAACCCTTTTCATACAGACTTGAACAAATCACTACCGGTTGGTACGTTACTCGCCTTGCCTTATGTTGTAAACCGCAACTTTAGACTTCAAGGACTAAAAAAAGTTTTAAAAGTTCACATATTGCTGCAATCTGTTTTACACTTTATATATTACTATGCAGCACCATGCAAAAGTCTTAGGCAGTTAAAGAAAATGTTTAAATGAACATCATGTTGGTGTGAATCTACAATATTATGTCTATTGAAGTCTATCAATGCCATTTCAACACCACTCCTAAATTCACCCAAGCATGCATTTGCAGCAACCATCCACCCATGTATTTTTTGACTGATTAGGACAGCCATTCAATACCTTACTGATTTTTTAAAACTAATTTAATTAATTAAGTGAGTTGGTGGTGAAATTTAACAAATACATGGAATGGCTGAAATGCCCCTGAAGAGAGGTTTGGGAACTGAAGCAAGGTTCTTCTAGACGACCAGAAAGAAATCAGTAACTTTTTGAAGAACAGAAGAGATTCTTTAATGTATTCCTCGTAATTTGCATATGCTCTAATGTTAAATTCTGTTCTTTTTCTGAGCAATTATACACTTACTACCCAGATAAATCGCTTTAAACATTTTCTTTGACTACCTAAGGCTTTTGCATAGTACTGTAAAGCAAGGAAGCGAACAGTGACTCAAGCTTAAACTAGAAGACCTTCTTAACTAGTTTCAAAAGTTTTTTTTTCTTTTTGAAAGGTGAATTGCTTTAACACTAGACCTGGTATACAGCAACTTGCGGCAGTACTGCTGGTGTATACGCGCGTAATACAGATTAAGCCATATATAAACTATATAAACACACTTGAGACCACCTGAAAATTCTTCTAGAATTCAAATGAAATTCTTCCAAATTGTATAAGATCATTTTGTAAACTGAAGAAACTTTCAACACCATGCAGGCTCATTTGACCCTGCACCGGATATACTCCATGGAAATTCATGGATGTTTTCAAATGTTTGTACTGACCGACTGTCATTTATTTACAGACCTTATTGAAGGCGCATATTTAACTTTTCTAAACTAAAATTTCCTACTTGTCGAATATTATGGTAATTACCAAGGTATAAATCAGTTGTGCACGCGCGCCACCAACTGTTCATTGTTTTTCACTGTGATGTTTAATAGTAACAAGATTCGGCGTCTGCGTTTTGGAGGTTAGTTTTTATCTGTTTTTTCCTATTTAACTACATATACAATGTAACTATATATGTGTGAATGTTATGTGCATTATGCAGTGTTAAAACCGGCAATGCGTATAGCCGAAAATGCTACACCTTTTCCGTGCCTTGATCCGAAATGTCTTACGTCGTAAGTTCTAGATAAATTAAATATATTTTCAATGCTGCGTTACGTGAAAGGCAGAGCACACTGCTAACAGATTGCTGACTTACTAACTAGCTCGGCACCTGAGTAGATCTGCTATTTCTAAGGTAAACCGGAGCGCTTGGCTGGTACAGTTGGCATTCCTCGCCCCGTCAAGGCCTTCCCCAATCTGGCGACAGAGGTGCTGTGTCATGATTGGTTCGCGGCGTTACTTCCGCGTTCATTCCAGTCTCTGATTGGCTCAACGGTTGACTTAGTGGGGCGAACGGTTTCTCAGCACCAGTACAAGGTACGCCTTTGTCAAGCCCTTGGTTTAGCTAGTCCAGGAAAGGATCAAGTTGTTCAAAATCTTTTTCTGGTGCTTTAATATCTGTAACTAAACACATTAGACAAGTTAACCAGGTAAGGCTATAACACGGTGCACGGTGGATTTGACGAATGACTAATCTGCCGTGTCGTCTACGTTGGCCGACTTGTTTTACTGTCAAGTTTTGTTATTTAACCTGAGAACTTGGAAGCATTATTCTTTACAAAAAGGGAACAGGAAAAAAAATAAATAAGCGGTGCTTAAGGGAAACTGTTAAGCCGGATATATGTCTTTCTCCCCTTAGTCATGACCGTATGTTTTACTAATGTTACGCTCGGTGAATTAAGATGTCATCTGTCAATTTCCATCGAGGTCATTTAACATCTAATGTTCTACTTGGTTTCATATTCTATTACGTGCATTTTTTCTTATTCTGCATCCCTCCAGCAAGCTGTTGATACTATGTAACTTGATGCATCCGTATATTCTTACAAAAGCGTTGTTTGTCCCGTTTATAATTGTGCTGAAATGAAACTGCGATCTTTGGATAATGTGTATAGTTGGACTTTTGCTTAAATCTGTATGCACAATAGCAATCTAGGACTCTAGGAAACTTCGCATGACGACGAATATCCAATAAATTGAATGAAAGAGATTGACGTAAAAAGATTTGTAGTCAAATGGGTGTGGTTATTTGTAGTGCTTAAAGGTTCTTTAACGGTTAAAGTAGTTCGTTGTAAAAAATGTTGATTCACTGGTTTGGCAGTTCATTTGGAAATCGGAGATAGCTGTTCCGTAAGTACAGATCCCCAGGGAAGACTTCCTAAACCAAATTTGAATCTTATCTATCGGTTTTCTATATTCCTTTTTTTCCGCAAGGTTCAGAGATGTCCAAGAAGATCCAGGCAGGTTCAGTGGTGGAGATGAAGGGGGATGAAATGACTAGGGTGATCTGGGAGTTGATCAAAGAGAAGCTCATCTTCCCATACCTAGAACTGGACTTGCACAGGTGAGCACATTGTCAGGCAAGGGTGTACAATGTGCCTAACAATGTATAGTCTACCCCAGTTTTTCTATATTTCCCTTACCTCTTCGCTGAGTTCTAGAAAGTCAAATTTCAACATTTGTAGGAGGGCCAGTGTAATGAAAACGAAAGTTAATTATCTGCTTTCCAGTTCTAAAGATGCAAGATCTTAAACCGCCCCCTTGTCATATTTATCCTTAATGTTAGACTAATTTTTGAATCTGTAAGCTATTTTGTGCACATGCACACATGGCTGCATCTCTACAAATAATTTAGTTTTCTTCTGCAGTAGAAAATAGGTTCTATGAAACTGATGGAAATTCGTCACTAATTTTAACTTGTCATTTGGGGCGTATTTGTTTTTTGCCACTGCTATTTTTTATATATATATATATATATATATATATATATATATATATATATATATATATATATATATATATATATATATATATATATTATATTGGATATATGCAACTGGCCTAAGTCAGAATGGGAATTTCAGATTTTAATATAGATATACATTTTGGAGATGCTGAACTAATATTCCTTACACTGGAAGCATGTCATTTATTAAGAGGGTTACTGCATCATGTTAAGTTTGTTCCATGCTGAGGTCTAGACTTGTTTGAAAAATCAAACACACATCCTTCCAAGCAGAGGCCAGAGTTGTATACTAGAAAAAATGAATGGAAGCTATGTACATCAACCATATCCAAATTCTGAATTTTCATGGTAATTCTGCACTAAGAGTCCTAGTGAATAGACAGGCCTCTTTTTGTTGAAGCAGGAGTGGGGGAGGGTAAAATTAGGTAAAAGGTTGTAGCTGGTACTCTAACCACAACAGTCTCTTGAGAGGGACACAAAAAACAAGTGTTTTTTAATTGTATATTTACTGCTTTGTCACTTAGGTCATACTTTTGTGTGCACACATTTGACTCTATTTTAGTCCTCAGTGAGCTCTTGTTTTCTGCAAATCTAAATTGTAAATGTTCTGAAACTGTTATGAACTGTGTTTTTTTAATTTTAATGTTTTAAACCTGTTCAGTCAGGAGTGGTTCATAATCCGTGCAGAGTGGTTAATCTTTAAATATGTATTGCTAAATGATCGTGCTGCAACTTCATTTTGTGATTATGCCAGATGTTTGGTGGATATTTGCTTGTGCAAAGCCTCCGCAGGGGCAGTGTGTGTCTTAGCAGGTTAGGATGCTGTGCCAGCAATGGAAAATCTGCCGGTGCAAAGCCCCTGGTCGGCTGAGTGGTTTCGTCACTGGGCCTTTGAGCGAAGCCCTTAGTCCCCATTTGCACCAAGGACTGGCTCACGTTGCTATCTCAAAATGTTTGTGGCTTCAGATAACAGCATCTGATAAATAAATGCTAATTTTGACATTTTTTTAACACTCCCAAAGTTATATTTTATCTTCAGCTTATATTATTCATCTACAGTAACAGTTGAAACCAGAAGTTTATATATACTTCAGAAAAAGACACAAAACCTTTTTTCCCCTCACTGTTGAACATTAAATCAGAGTAAACTTTTTCTGTTTTAGGTCAGCTAGGATCACCAATTTTTTTTGTATTTGTTACATGTCAGAATAAAAAGGGAAAGAATTTACTAGAATTTTTAAAATTACTTTAAAAAATGTACATACACTTCCTTAGTATTTGGTAGCATTGCCTTGAAACAGTTTCACTTGGACCAAACGCTTTGTGTATCTCCTCCCACAACTTTCTCTCAATGGTTTGCTGGAATTTTGGCCCATTCCTCTTGACAGAACTGGTATAACTGAATCAGGTTTGTAGGCCTTCTTGCTCACACATACCTTTTCAGTGCTGCCCACAAATTTTCTATAGGATTGAAGTCAGGGCTTTGTGATGGCCACTCCAATGCCTTGACTTTGTTGTCCTTAACCCACTTTGTAACTAATTTGGAGGTGTAATTTTCTTTTCTCATGACACCATCTATTTTGTGAAGTGCACCAGCCCCCCCTGCAGCAAAGCAGCCCCACATGATGCTGCCACCCCCATACCTCACGGGTGGGATGCTGTTCTAAGGCCTGCAAGCTTCCCTCTTTTTCCTCCAATTATACCTTTGATCATTATGGCCAAACAGTTCAGTTTTAGTTTCATCTAAACTTTTAATAGCTTTTTTTTAATAGCTTTGTAGGAAAATTAAGGGGTCAGCTGTGGTCAGTGTTGGCTATACCAAATGGATCCACAAGATGGCACACTTCCTTTCCCCTGTCAAATTACAGTCCTGGAGGGCTAGAGACCTTAGGCCTCTTGGCTTGTAAATAGTTGTTTTTAAATGTATGGATTTTTTGGGGCAGGAATAACTGAATTCTGATTGTCGTCGCAGGGAAACTTGCTTTCATTATAGCTCTGTGTGTGTGTGTGTGTGTGTGTGTGGTAGCAGCAGGGACTTGCTGATCCTTATGAAACTTGTCCAACAGCTACGACCTTGGCATAGAGAACCGTGACGCTACAGAGGACCGGGTCACCGTGGAGGCGGCGGAGGCAGTGCGGCGCTACAACGTTGGCATCAAGTGTGCGACTATAACCCCCGACGAAAAGCGGGTGGAGGAGTTCAAGCTCAAGCAGATGTGGAAGTCGCCCAACGGCACCATCCGCAACATCCTGGGTGGCACCGTCTTCCGCGAGGCCATCATTTGCCAGAACATTCCCCGGCTGGTGACTGGCTGGGTTAAGCCCATCATCATCGGGAGACATGCACATGGAGACCAGGTGCACCTGCATGCATGAAATGTCACTTTCTGCCAATTTTTCCAGGTTCTTTGGTTTCCTCTTGCAGTCCAAAGACATGCATTCAGGCTAGTTGGCATCTCTAAACTAACTAGAATGTGTACACATGCCTGCATGCATCCACACTGTCACTGACTAGCATTCTGCAATGTCCATCACTTCTTTAATTATTTCTCATCCTCTGCTTCTTTCTGCTCTTATTGCTGATTAATTCTGTATTCATCACGATTTTCTTTTCTAAGTTCCTCACTGTCTGAACTATTTTTTTTTTTTTTTAACATGGTTTTGAATGAACTAGCATTGTTCATCACCACACTGCCTATAGATGAGAAAGTTTTAGCTTTCTTTCTCTTTGAGAACAAGGACACATGAATCAGGGTGGGGAAGGCTGAAGGTGGCAGTCCCCTGCCACGGCTAGCCTCTGATTGAAAAGTCTGCTGGAAGACTATTAATCTCCAGTTGGCTTGGGAGTTGGTGTGTGCCTTCTGTCTTTACGCTTGGTAGATTACTGATTACATCTACGTGCTCTTTGGACTGCACTGATGCCACTGTCCTCCTGATACTGGGCAGTATATTTTTAACAGCTCGCCCCATAAAACGGGGTATTCAGCTCATCTAGAATGCCAAGGAAATGATTACTTTGTAGAGCCTTCCATTTTAGGGTGGTGGTATGACCAAGGCTTCAGGATTTTTTTTGTAATAGGTCACCAGTGTTTGTTTTCATGTCAAGATGTAATATTTAAATTGGGAAATCTCTGTACTGTAGTACAAGGCCACAGACTTTGTGGTGCCTGGCCCAGGCCGGGTGGAGATGACGTACACACCCAAGAGCGGAGACCCTGTCACCTTTGTCGTCCACGACTTTGAAGGTACATCGACCCACATGAGGTGTGGCAGCGGGTCACTAGCTCACGCATCCTAATCCCGAACCTCAGCTGCTGAAAGGCTGGCATTGTAAGAGCAGAGCTGCCATGGTTGTCCTTTAGTAGTCATTTCTTAATGAAAAGCACCTTTACTCCTGTTGGCTTAACGTATGTAAAATGCCTTCAAGAGCAAAAACATGAGGCACCATGTTATGATGTATGTATAGCATATGAAATCCTGTCTTTTTTGTATATTTTGTTACTGTTTATAACACTTTTACGATGTCATTCTGGAACTAAGAGTGATGTCATTGTGAATGCAGAGCCCAAAGCTTGTGTGCTCTTAACACTGTCCTCTGCTCTGTGTCCTAAGGCACTGGTGGCGTGGCACTGGGCATGTACAACACGGACAAGTCCATTCGGGATTTTGCCCACAGTTCCTTCCAGATGGCCCTTTCTAAGTGCTGGCCTCTCTACCTCAGTACCAAAAATACCATCCTCAAGAAGTATGATGGGCGTTTCATGGACATCTTCCAGGAGATCTATAAAAAGTAATTTCTTCAGGCATTTATGTTGTTACTGGCTGGCCTGTTATTATTGATGGGGAAAGTGAGGTTTCAGAACATGTTAGGCAGGACCAGGCATCCTGCTAGACACCTACCCTGTCAGGTATTAGGACCCTGACTGTCCTCTTCCACTCCAGGGAGTACCAGGCCCAGTTTGAAGCCAAGGGTATCTGGTATGAGCACCGGCTGATCGATGACATGGTGGCCCAGGCTATGAAGTCCGAGGGGGGCTTCATTTGGGCCTGTAAGAACTACGATGGGGATGTGCAGTCTGACTCTGTAGCACAAGGTAAATACAGTTTTATTCTTTTGACCTGTCTGGCTTAACCATTTGTATGTATTTTGACCCAGGAAATGCAGGTAGCTCTTAACTTGAGTGAAACAGACACACACATAAATTGAGATTTATACAAAAAATATCTGAGATGCATAGTTTACAGAAGTGGAAATGCAGCATTTATACAAAGACAGGCTAGGCTACTCTGGGAGTCCGTCAAACCTGAATGTCTTCTTTTAAGACGTATTTGCTTTGCAGTCCTGCTGTGTTGATACTCGGGTTCTGTTTTGCAATACTGACAGACATCTGCATTCTCATTCACTTTTAACATGAAGTGCTTCCACACAAATGACGCTTTCGCTCTTTGTCTGGACCCTCATCCTGCATGTGCTGTCTACCTTCTGCTATATTGCCGAGTAATCGAGAAGCAAAATTTTAATCAATGCTTTTAAATAATCGAGATTAATTGAGTATTTGTGACAGCTCTAATTTAATATGTTTTCATCAAATTTTTCTCTTTTATTTGTTTTTTGCTGTAAAGGGTTTTGAATGGTAAATTCAACTTGTGTAAAATTTGACTTGCGAAACTGATTGTGGAACAGGTTACTTCAAGTCAATCGAGCGCAGCATAGATGATTAACTTTCCACCAGTTTTTTTTTTTTTTTTTTTTGTCCCATTTCATTTTCATCTTATCTTCTTGGCTGCATTAAGATGAAATAATTTGTTTTGTTTGTGAAGACTTTGATTGTGATTCTTTTCCATTAACGCCTATATATATATATGTTTTTTTAAACAGAACTCTGCAAGTGTGTGTGTGCATATAGACGGTGCATTATAAGAGCACTGCATTACATTTTGACCTCACTCAGATAGACCCCCTGGAAGCTCTTGGTTGACCCCTGATCTAGTTTGCTGTGTGGACTTGTTTCTGTGCATACGGTCACTTGAGTGACTCTTCATACACCAACTATTGTACTTCCAGGGTATGGCTCCTTGGGCATGATGACCAGTGTGCTGGTTTGTCCTGATGGACGGACCGTGGAGGCAGAGGCCGCTCATGGCACAGTGACCAGGCACTACCGGCAGCACCAGCAAGGGAAGGAGACATCCACCAACCCCATTGGTAAGATCAGAGATGACGGATAAGGGCACCAGGAATTGTACTTTTTTTGCATGTTATATTTCTGGACGCATGCAAACACACAGAACTCCAGTAAGACTTCAGAAAGATTCAGCATCAATCCACCCAAGCTTATGCCAGCCTTAAACATCTTGCACCACCATGGTCTCTTTGATGTACTCCCAGCCTCCATCTTTGCCTGGACGCGTGGGCTGGCTCATCGGGCAGAGCTGGACAAGAACGCCGAGCTGCGGGTCTTTGCCGAAGCACTCGAGGCTGTCTGCGTCGAGACCATTGAGGCTGGCTTCATGACCAAGGACTTGGCTGCCTGCATTAAGGGCCTGCCCAAGTAAGTCTGAAGAGCTAACCTGGTGATCAGGCGTGAGCTAACATTTTGTGCTAAAGAGTTCTTGGAGTCATTTAGGTCAATGCTATGGCGATTTAAAAGCTTAAATGACATTTTTTAGCATCGCAATAACAGGGGAAGGATGATTTACATCCACTACCGTTATCAGCCAATTCAGCAACAATTGGCCTTTGACCGATGGATAAAAATGAGCTGATATTTACTGCTGATTGGCCTGAGATGCTTGAGCATCGTATGTAATTCACATCCACACACTAAACGGTTAGAAAAATGTCTGCTGGGTGTGGAATTATTTTAACATTTGTGAAAACCATGTTAGAAGTGCATTTTGCTAACACTACTCTCTAAAACTGGGCATGGAAGGTCTCCTATTAAAAGTTTCAGCAAAACAAATTTGATTGTTTACCCCAAAATAAGACAACAGAGTGTGAAGTTTCTAAAAACAAATCCATTCTAATCAAGAAGGTTGCAATATGGCCAGTTGTACTCCTTCAGTAATGCAAGCATTTGATAGCAAAAAAAAACTCCAGACAGTAAAAAATCACAAGAAAATTGTGGTGTTTATTGCACTTCATGATCTGCCCTTCTCTGCTGTTGGGGACACTGGCTTTCAGCAATTAATAACACAATTGTAAATAACAGAATGCTTGAAATGTGTAGCTGAGAGCAAATACAGGATTATGAGTTTACTTGTATTCAAGTGCTGGTAGCAGTTACTATATAAACACTACAATAATGCCATGGAAGATTTTTTCCTCTTATTAATTTAAGTAACATAATAGAAGAGATGCACTGACCAGATATTCGGATCAGTATCGACACTGATCCAGATTTATTAGACGGATCAGTTATCGGCCATGTGTGACCGATCCATGTCCAGTACTTACTGATTTAGTTTTCGGCAGTCTGTAAAAAGATAACTCCTGTATCTTATTAAATTGATTTGTACAATCAATCGCACGACAGCTCTTTACTGTTTTTAGATGTTTTTTGCGGCATTCAAGCTGAATGCTAACATTGCCTCTCAGTCTATTTGCCACTCAGTGGGTGTGAGTTCAGTGACTTCCGCCTGCTGTGACGACATGTGCATACCCTTTGCAGTATGAGGAGTGTAAAAAAATTGAGTGACGATCTGAAAGCATTTTACACTTTTACCAAGAACTAGTAGCACAGCGATTTGCAATGTTCGTAAAAATAGTGATTTGAGAGGTGGGAGAAGTGTTTTGTGGAAAATGAGTAAAGTGATTAAAGTGAAAATAGCTCTTCTATCGGAATCTGTATCGGTATCGGCAGTTGTGTTTCAGAATAGGATTGGAACTGAAAAATTTGGATCGGCCCAGGTATTTGACATGTGTAATGGTAACTGAAAACAGTTAATGTTGAAAATGTATAAGATGTAGACAGTTATAAAATATAGTGCTCTGAGACTTTACCAATTGATATACAACAACAAATTATTATATTTTCCTACCAAAAAATTTAAGCACTTTTTTTTATTATATATTTTTGGAATGGAATGTTATTTATTAATCCAGATCTGAGTATTTTTAAATAGATATATTTCCCATTTGTCCATGCAGTGTCCAGCGCTCAGACTACTTGAACACTTTTGAGTTCTTGGACAAGCTGGCAGAGAATCTGAAGATCAAGCTATCAAGCCAGCCCAAACTCTGAGCTGTTCAGACACCACACACATGCACACACAGACGTTTAATCGTTCATGGACATACATCCTCCCATGCAAGAGATACACCCCGGAATCGTTTCAGGAAGAAAACGATCACAAACACCACAGACGAGGTCATGACGGGCTCTGTCCAAACTCGAAACTAAAAAAAAAACTAAGCTAAAATGTCTCTTCTGCTTATGACCTACTTCCCACCTGGACCCTCCACCTTCCCTGGAGGAATGCACTTTGACCCAGTATAACCCAGTTTACCCAGTATGAAATGGAGCCCCCCGCCCTTTGGTGCTTTTGGGATATTTTTATATACTTTCCTCTAAGAATGGGAGGTACTCTGCTCAGTGGACAGGATCATTAGCACTAAGAAGTTTCTAGAAAAACACGTCTGAAAACTCATTTGTTTGTTTGCACAAACCTTCCTGTGGTCAGTATATCATGTATGTCTGCCAGGCCTCAATAGGAGGACCTGCCTGAAACTGTGAAGATGAATCGTCTCCCACTGCAGTGTGTGTTACATTATTTTTTGTGTAAATCTGTCAATGTCACCATTTCGGGTTTGCACCTAAGAACAAGGCTATTACTTGACTAGAAACTGGTCTGATTTCTGCTACTGATTAGAGAACACTTGTATGTAATTATTTTCTTTGTTTTTAATAGAAGCTTTTCACTCTACCATTCTTACTGAAGTTTTTTCAAGAAGCCATTTTTAATAGTGCATTAAATTGCAATCCTTAAGTGGTAAACAAAATAAATAAGATGTTGCTGAAAGCTGGTCTGTGTTTGTTTCATTTTTAAAAGTACGCTAAACAAGGTGCATTTTAGTTTCACAAGAGAAGGGTTATCCCTGTGGAACCCATGGGGTCATATATGACCCTTTTATTTCTGCCTTACATTCAACCCATTCATCAAAGTTAAGAATTTTTTTTTGCTTTACAGCCCATTGTACCATGTACGACCCAGTAACAGTGACATTTAGTGATTACTGACTGAATTAACCAGATTTTTTTCCACAATAAATATGGGCCCCAACGCGTTTTGAGGTTGTTGCTGTACATGCTGCAAAGATTCACCTGTCAAGGTAAGTGGCAGAAATTTTGCATCATCAGTTATAATTTTTAGATGTTATAGAACATGTACAACTAGGTTTTGGATGTTTTGAAACTTTTCTGGCAACTGTGATGATCATGTTTCATGTGCACAACATCAGCCTCAAACAAAAACAGGGAATACAGGTGATGCACCAGACCTTACAACCCAGCACAAGTAAACTTTCTGTGTGTAGTGCACCTTTTTGCAGGTCTGTTCACTTGACCTGTTTCTTGATGGGTTGGCATGTTTGAAGCCTGTGTTTTATTACCCGCACATGGTGAATGATGAAAAGGAAAACTCAATAAATGCATTTTGAAAATGAGAATATTGCAAAGATTTGGTTTTTCCTTCTTTTCTGTCCTTATTTCATAGGTGAAATTAACAAATTGGAATATCATGAACAGTCCAGCATGTCGTATATGGCTCATTTCATAATGGACTGGGAAAGGGATATTTTTCCAAAACACCTGTTTTTGAGTTCACTGGGTCTGTATGATCATTTTAGCCAATGGACATATTTTTCCTATAATGATAAGGTGGTCTGGGTTCCCCAGGGTTAATGATGATTCCTTTTCAGCATTATCTAATATAGGTATAAAATATGTCTAAAGTTTTCCGCCGCTACCTTTGCATGAGCATTGTATGCGATATCGGAGGCAACGATATCATTTTCGTCCTTTCTTTTGGACTGAATCAAGCTTCTTTGTTGAAAAATTAAGCGAAGAAAGAGTGAAAAGGAGAAAGGCGAACAAGAACTGGTCACGAAAAGCTATTCATATTCCGAAAAGCAAGTGATTTGCTGGCACTGCTTTGCGTCTGTTGGCGTAAGTTTCGACAACACCAACTTATTTGATAGAACCTGTTAGTAGCACAATATCGCAGTCTGACTTTTTTCTAGTCTCGATCAGCCCTACTCAAAACAAACAACACGTTAAGAAATATAATTTATGTTAATTGGTTCTTATGTACGGTATCATGTAAAATGATGTAGCTATAAGCGACAGGGTAACCTTCGTTTTAGCAGTGATTATTCTGACATCACATATAGGAATCACAATAAGCAAAATAAATTAAGTCAAATTGATGACAAAGACAGGCTAGGCTACTCCGATGGGCTAAATGGTACATATCGATCTATGAATAACCTCTCATTATTGGGTGAGTCCGTCAAACCTGAATGTCTTCTTTTAAGATGTACAGTATTTGCTTCACAGTCCTGCCGTGGTGACGCTCAGGTTCGTCTTTGCAGTATTAAGAGGCATCTGCATTTTCATTCACTTTTAATGTTTTTAATTTTGGTGGACCCTCATCCTGTACAGTATGTGGCGGCTACCTTCCGCCATATTGCCGAGTACTCGTGAAGAAAAATTTTAATCGATGCTTTTAAATAATCGAGTAATCAAGTTCAATCGAGTAATCGTGACGATTGTAGTCTCAATGGGCTTTAAATATTAATGGTTTGACAATTATTATAAGAAACCTTAATTATGCTATTCAGATTGAGTAATATGTCAAACCATTAATATTTAAAGCGCATTGAGACTACAATCGTCATAATACATTCACATTTAAACATTTTGATCAAGCCATTCCATACAACCATTCCATATTCTGTTATGACTTGATGGATGAGGAAGAACAGGACAGTTATTCCAGATAATTATTAACTTCTTAATGTTTTTTTCTTTTTCTCTTTTTACCTTCTCACCACAAGGTGGTATAGAAGTACCATACGAGAATCAGAAGTATTCTGTATTTTTCAATTTTCTATCCTGTGCTAGCATGTTTATCAGCATTTTAAATATACTTCTTACATAATTCACGAATAATTGTTCTTAGTATGAAGTTGTTGCTGAAAGGGGAGATATACATGTAATGTTTCCCACCTTAATTCCAAAAACCGTGCTGAAACACTGTTTTTAGACACTCTGAGGAAGCAAATAGCAACATTTCATCATTAAAGATCACTTTATAGTAATTTCATCAATAATTATCTCTGTATGATACCATTTTCAACAGCAGAATTTGGTTGATGACTGTAATTTTGATATTACTGGCAAACTGTATTTTCACATAAGCAGAAATTATTTGTAGTATTATGCCCCTACAAAGTATACAACTATACTTGATTATGTCAACATTACTACATATTTGTAAGTTTCCATGCACTTCAGCTGATTAGCCTTTTGGATCAGGTGGAGTCATACTGTCTAATTTCAGCGGAAGTGGGGACATGGGGGGAAGCGTGGACCCTCAGGCAACTGATGGTGGAAAAGGGTTCCAATAGGTATCAAAGCTTTTAGGCTGCCCCTATTGTCCTCCTGTAATTGGATTTTGCCTGGAAGAACGGAGTCTCATTTGCCAGTCTGAGTTCCACAAAGATTACTGTGCTGTTGAAAGCCAAGATCATTAGCAATGAATGGGTGCAATGCTTACTATTTTAATCCAAGACTGAACCATTGAGAGTTTATTCATGGCAGCCCTGTTTGTTTGTGTCTATCTATCTATGTGTTTATTAGCTGCCCTCTTGCCATGTTTCAGTTAGTCTCCAGGACTGTGCCGATGCGATGCTGGAGAGTGGAGTATTGTGATGACCTGTGTGGCTGCTTCCCCAGCCTAAGCTGATGGAGAAAGATGCATACAATTACAAAGCTGGCTTGATGACTTTCTTATCCCTCCAGACAAAATAAAATATGTCATGGAGTATTTTCCACCTGTAGAGCAGTTCAATTATGTGCAGGTTCCTCATTTTGATACAGTTATATCATGTATCATTAGCATATTTTTGTTACTAAATTGCCCATGGATGTGCATGTGTGAGTGAATGGTGTGTGAGTGTGCCCTGCGATGGGCTGGCCCCCCATCCTCGGTTGTTCCCCGCCTCGTGCCCGTAGCTTCCGGGATAGGCTCCGGACCCCCCACGACCCAGTAGTATAAGCGGGTTGGACGATGGATGGATGGATTAGCATATTTTTTGCCCAATAAACAATTTCTATCTAAAATTGTTTTTTCATGTCAATTTCACTCCTAACTAATTAATGGCAGTGGCCATTAATGATTTAACATTTTTGATTTGTGTTCTACAGCCAGCATACTTTGCTATGAATTTTGTTTAAAATTTGTTACAATCAAAAGTGTCACAAAAGATGTCAGTGAAGACAAGTAGTATTATACCTAAAGTAATTTAATCAGGAAAGTAAGAGGGTAAAATTGATGATAACTTGAAATTATAGTACTAATAACATAATTTTATACTGCATAATAAGCTATTGCAAAGCAGTTGGGTGGATGATAGATGAGAAATATTTTATTTAATTTGTTATTTAATAATTATGGATGAACAGCAACAGATTGATACTTATCTGTAGCAATGAGGAATATATAGTTTTATGGCATTTTCAGTCAAAATGCTGGAATGGAATGGCTTTGCTTTTATGCCTCAGCTCAACTTTTTCACTGCTAGCAAAAAACTTGCTTCAGCAGACAACAAAACAAGCCTATGCTGGGGTTTCCATGGCGACACAACAATCACTCTCCTCATCAAAAGCAGACTAACAGAGGTAGCGGCCCCTTTGTGCCAGAGAGGAGGGAACAGAGAAACACCGGGCAGATGAAAGCATGGCCATCCTTAAACACAATCATAATTTAGTCATCAGTGTAGGAGGACATAATAAAAAACCAGGGAGAGAGAGAGACGGGAATGGACGGAGAGAGATGGAAAGAGAGATTGGGGTCAACAAAACAGAGAAGAGAGAAAAATATGAGGAATAACCTGTGCTTAATGCTCTGGCATGTCAGATATAGGCGTATTTCTTATAATGAAAATTATGCAGTGTGCACAACATAGGAAAATATCAAATGGATGGTCATTTTGGGTCATTTCATTTTTTTTTTACTTTCTATCAATACATTGGAACAGTTTATATTAAGTGGTGTAGCACTACCAAGAAGTGTCCTGCAAGCCAACTGGCCACGACTACAACTGTGGTTTACATAAAATAGAGGGTTGTACATTAGGCCATTCTTGCAAACTGGACATTGATCAAAACTGACAGGATCCGGTTTGGCAGGAGGGTCACCTCTGTAAGACCTTTGAGTTTAAGTCCTTAACCAAAGAGGTTTATTGAGAAGTAGATAAAAACTTTGGGTAAGGACTCTTCTAAACTTAACAATAGAATGATTTTTCCAGCACTGCAGAATTTTAGAAAGCAAAATGTACCTACTTTATGGGAAATAAATATTTAATGTTTGGATGTATTTGCCTGAATTCTTCAAGACACAGAAAAACATTTTTATATATACACTGTAAAACCAAAGTTATGTTCTTATTAGCATTCCAATTATTAATTTCTAAATAGGTGCCATGATACAAATACTATATATATTCTTGGAAAACTTGGTAGCCAAACCTGCCATATGAGCAATGCACCCATTTTATCATGTCATTATATAGTTTTATTGATGGGATTCTAAAATATGTATATAGACTTGAATGTCACATGTCATATTGGTATTGAGTACTGTTACATATTCATAAAGGTTATGGAAAACCACACCAAACATGTAAATTTAATTAGAATTTATTGTCTACCTATGTATTTAATCTATATAATGATAGATGTTTATTAAGTAGTTTTCAATTGTACTTACACCTCTGATCTATCACGACTACTGGGACA